GCCGGCGGGTCGGAGCGTTTTCCGGCCAACTCCGGCGAAATTGACGGCGGGCACCAACTCCAATGCGGTCGTGGCATCCGGGCGACCTCCAAGGACCCTTCAATTGCAAGATTTGATGACGATTTGCAAAACTCCCAATTTTGGACTCAATTTCGAATTTTAGGGTTTTTTCAAGTAGAAAAATTTAGATTCGAGAAGTTACAGGACAAATTAGACAAAATGGTTTGGATATTATTGATCCTCGTCTCAAGACAAAGAGAATGACATTGGTCCCGCCGGAATCGGAAAAAGTTCATTTTCCGGCAACTTTGACCGGCGGGCGGCGGCGGCGGGGCCTGGAAGAAAAGAAAAGAAGAAATGGGGTCAAATTGAAAATTTTAAAATATATAAAATTCGAATTTGGCCCTAATGACCGGAAGTTAACCTAGAAACGGGCTAATGGCTCATTAGTGAAAGGATTATGTAAGTTCAGGGATTTTTGTGAAAGGATTTGAAGTTCAGGTACCACTTCGAAATTCCAGCTAAAGTTCAAGTACCAATGGTGAAATTTACCCAAAATTGTGAGAAGCTTCTCACTTATATAAAACGGAGTAGTAAAAAAGGCGATAATTTAAGGGACGGATGTAATACAAACTATTGGCCGGTTACCATCCTAATGTCATGGGATGACCCGTGAGTACTCTGGTGCCCAATTCGTAAAATTGACGGTTCCTACCCCCTAGTAAACCCCGCACCCTGCCACGACCTGAACACATCCTTCAATTGTACTCCTAAGTTAATTTTGACTTGTAGTCAATTGAAGGGGGTGGGGGTGTGTTCGGGTCGGGGCGGGGTGGGGGTTTATAGGGGGTTAGGGGGGATAAGAACCGTCAATTTTACGAACGGGGCATTGGAGCACCTCTAGGTCATCCATTCGAATATGTCTTTACTTGTATTTATTTAATCTGCACCGTTAATATTTTATCTAAAAATTCTAACGCCAATCTCTTACGTTATTCCAAACAGGCCCTCTATCTATAGGATGGAATAAGTTAGAAAAACAATGGTGTAATTTAGCCAATTTTTAACGGATCTTAAATGAGACATCCATCCAATGCAGCCACACTCCGGCGACTTCTCCATTTTGTCTTTCGTTTTCCCCGGCCTTTCCTTCGCCTAGGTAAACACATCGGCTTTAACATTCATATGATACGCAGTAACAGTCTAAAATCTCCGTTTCAGCATTCTTCCTCAACAATAACTTCTTCAATTTTGTATACTTCTGAATTATTGTGGTATTAGGTCGTGGTTAGTTTATCGATTGTAAAAACTACGATTCTCAGGCATTGTGTACGGTGGAGAGAATGTAATTGTTTCTGTTTTTTTTCCTGTGAAATTATCAAGTAACATTAATCTTTTGGCTCGATTTTTTGGTTGATAATCATCAACTTCGTGGATGACTAATTTGTGCACTTTGAGCACTGATTTGATAGCAATTATGCTCTGTTTATTGATGTATTTGTTGATCAGTACAATATGAGGTGATGATTTGGTTTATTGGATGACCTAAATGGGCAATTAATTAATGATATATCTGTTCTAGACAGAAAATAGTTCACTTAAATGATAGGAACTCAACAATTGGTGAAGGTAGATTAAGATACTGTCTCCAATTTAAGTACTTTTTTGGGGGAGGCAATAGGCATTGAGTTTGTCCACTCCTTCAATTATTTTTTATTTAGATTTGATGTATCAACCATGCTAGATGTATACCAAGGGGTGTACCCCAAGTTGTACGCCAACACTTTGATGGTTCACACTAACACAAAATGCTAGTGCTATCGAAAAATTTTGAACAAGCATTTTTTGCCGGTGTGAATCATCAAAGTGTCGGTGCATACATGTGGTGTACAACTTGGGATACACCCCGTGGTGAGTGTTGGTGTACTAGTAGCTTTATTCTTGATGTATATTTGCATATGGCTGGTTACAAATTTATGAAGTATAATATATTTGGATCAAACTTATTAGAATGACTAGTAGTAATTCTATCAAATTGTAATCAATGGAGGGCATTTATCAATGCCCAAGGCATTTGGAGTGATTACTCTAGCAAAATTCTATCTCTACATGCTCTATGCTCATTGGTTAGATATTGTAGATTCTCTGTTTTTGTAACAGATGGTGAACTATTCTACATGTATAAAGTAGTTTATCCTTTGCTAATGAATACACACACACACACACACACACACACACACACACACACACACACACACACATATATATATATATAATGGCATGATGGAGTTATTTAGTAATAGTGCATTTTTTGGAAAAAATGAAACATTGACAAATAATATGTTAAGATGTAATGTATCATAATTAATGAAAGCAGTAAATGTTGTTGAAGGCTTCATTGCAGACAATGTTTCTTGTTCTTTCTCCAAGTTGGACCCTCTGCTTTTCTGTACAAAGGGGAAGTTGAGTTCATGTACCAGTACCACCATTGTGTTGGCATTGTGTGTTGTGAACTTGTGATCTTTGGGAATCAATGGCGGTGTAAATAGTAGTACGTTCTATGCGGTTTGGGTCGTTTTGGGTTGTTTTTACTTGCCACGAATGTGCATTTTGGTCGCTGTTTGCGTTGTGGTTTTTAATCTTGCTCTGTTCATTGTGGTTGTGGCTTTTGACCAGGTAGCAGTGCCACCAGTGTGTACCTTGTATTTGTGTTGTGCAAACTAGTGTTGAATTCGCGGAACCAGCACATAAGTTAATTCAAAATCCTTAAGGAGGAACCTCGAGGTATTGGAGCAGAGATTTCTTGAATCAATATAAACTCTGGTGCACTTCTTACTTTATACTTTTATTTCTGCAATATTAACTGCTTCTGCCTATCACCCATAACGCAAGACCAAGTGTTTTTAATGATTTTTTTATTTATTAGATATCCCGTATTTTCAAATTAAGCCCGAAGAATTTTTATTGAAAACAATGTATTTCTATATGGAGACATGGATTATGTTTTAGTATATACTCTATATATGGTAATTTATTTCGACTCATTTTAAGGGACAGAGTTTTATATTTTACCCCGTATATGGTAAAATGTTTAATTATTTGTGATGCCGTTTCTTGTGTTGTTATGTTTTCTTAATTAAGTTTTTTTCTATTTATTTTAACTTAAAATAAAAATTACGTTAAGACCTCTCAAAATATGGATTCGCACTAAGAAAATACTGAGTACAAACTGTTAATTGATTCAAACCACAATAAATCATTACAAAAAAAAAGAGAAAAAAAAAAGAAGACATAACCCACAGACAACCTTAGCAGAGACTTAAAAGAGTGGTGTAGCACCATCACATCACATTCCATCATCATAATTCTTCAATCTCAGCAGCTAAAAAGATAGCATTAAACAGTGGCAATGGGAGAGCTCTGAAGGGCCTTCATGGCTTCGAACCTGGGCTCCTTGTCCTGGAACTTGAGCCCAGCATAGAGCTTCATGTAGTCATCAAACACAAACTTGGGGTACTTCTCCTTGTCCTCCTCCGCTTCCTTCTCCACCAGCTCCGGCGCCGGATACATCACCGCGTCATCCCCCGGGTTGTAGAACGACGCTATCGACATCCTGTTCCCGTCCGTCTGCGCTATCACTCTGTGCATCACGCTCTTGTACTTCCCGTTTGTGATCACCTAAATAATATTCATATTCATAATAATGATAATAATATCTGCCTCTATAAATTTCTTTCCCAGTTTGACTTTCTTAGTCAAACTTTGAGCACAAATTACGACTTACTTCGAGCTGGTCGCCGATGTTAATGACGATGGAGTGGCGCATGGGGGGAACGTCGACCCACTGGCCGTCCTTGAGGAGCTGGAGGCCGCTGACTTTGTCGTCCTGGAAGAGGAGGATGATGCCGCCAGCATCGGTGTGGGCCCGGAGGCCCTTGATGAGGTCTGGGTTGGGACATGGAGGGTAGCTGCTGACCTTGGTGCCAAAGTTAGGGCCCTTTGACCCGTAGAAGGCCTTCTTTAGGTATCCTTTCTCAAGCCCCAGATTCTCACACAGCAAATCCAACAGTTTCTCTGCCAGCTTCTCCAGCTCATTTGCAAACTCCTTCATTACACTCCTGCACAACAAGAATGTGGGGACAGAAAGGTCAATCAGTACTGTGATCATGTCGACCTTAAATTTCTTTTAAGGCTGTGTTAGGACAGTTTCTTCCTTGCTGTCAATACACATGTAAGAACAGAGCTGTTGAGCTGGAAGAATCCGAGAATGTGGGAGAGAACAGTAACTTTTGTTTGAGGTTATTATTACTCCCTTTTTTTGTCCCAAATTAACTTTTACCCCCTTTGGGTTCTTGAATACCATTAAGAAAGTATTGAAAATATATTGAAACACAGTAAATTCTTTGTATATCAAAACTTTAGATGCTTATGAAATGACCTGTAGTCATCTTCAAGGTCTGGGACTTGGGAGATGTTAGAGGAAGGGAGATGTTTCAGGAAGAAGGTTGACTCCCAGTCAAGATCATTGATCTCATTCTGAACAGCATCAAGTCCCCTTGAGGCCACCATTTCCTTGAACCTTTCCTCCATACTCTTCTTGTAGTGCTCTTTTGTCAACTTCTCCACAGTGTCCAACAGCTCAACTGATATCCCATGATCCACCACCTATAAAAAAAATCATATGTTCTTTTTCTTAAAATGAATGCGACATTTTTCGGACGGCAGAAAAGAAACTGAAATAATTATCGCGAGATAAGAGAGTAAATTATACTCCGGGTATGTTTTAATTTTGCTTCAATTTTCATTTAAACTAAATGAAAAATAATTTCAGTCTAATATCGTAATCGTTATATGACGCCTTTGTAGGACGGAGCGAGTAACAAAAATAGAGAAAGAATAAAATTAAGGAGGAAGCATTATTTCTTGTTTAAAGGACAAAAACTAGAGAAAGAAAGAAAGAAACACCTCAAAGAATCCCCAGTTTTCACAAGCATCTTTAATTTGTGCCATAGTGGCAGCCCTTTCTTCAGTGTTAAGCTTCTCCAAGTTAATAATGGGGAAACAAGCCATCTCACTCTCTCTGTTTTTTTAAATAATGGAGTCTATTGATTTTCAGCTACTCTCTGTCACTCACTCACTCTCTAATAAGTATGCTTGAAGGATGAGGAGAGATGGGTAATGGAGGGGTATTTATAGCCCATTGAGGAGTCATTTATCTATTTAGGGAGAAAATGAAATCAAAAGCTAACAAAAGGAAAAAACCAATGTTGAGACATAGAGCCCCATCAAACACTCGAAACTTTTAGTAGAAGATTTCTACTGCTTTTTTTACTTGTCCAGTTTTAACTTTTTGCAATCAATTGTCTTCAACTTTTGATCTATAATTAAAGAAAATATACGAAATATATGGTATAATAATTAGATAAATTAAAATTTTAAAAATATTTTATAAAAATAAATCTAATAACATTATTTTGGTATCAATATCTAGTATCGTTTTTATTTAATTTCTTGTAAAATTTTGTCAATTTTGAATGTAAAAAGTTAAAAGTGAACAAATACTATGTAGGAATGTTTGTACGAAGAACACTGTGAAGCAATGTTGATGAAGAACTCGATAGTATAACAAATCGCGTAAAAACGCTTTCACATCAAAGTTATTTCTGGTATACGAAATACTTCAATCGGATAAGACGTTAATCAACAACAAGCACTCGAAATCCGATACTCAATCCATACCACGAGACTCTATTTTATAGAATCAAAAATTCATGACCGGTCATGAACATTCGCATAGACGCGTACGTTCGCGTCGAGAGGAAGAAACCCGCGAGAAGAAGAAAGGGTTTCAACGAAAGGTCTCCTGCGGTTTTAGAGTCAAATTCGAGTCCTTTATTATTTTGGACTCTGATCACGAAAATCTTAAGGATTTTCATAAAGAAAAAACGTCTGAAATAAAAAAAATTCCAGCTAACCCTTGGACCCCGCCAGGGGCTGCCGCCCCTTGGTCCCCGCTACCCATGGGCTGCCGCCCCCGGACCCCGCTGTGAATTTGTAATATCGTTGAACGAGTGCGCACTCGCGCCTCCTAACTTGTTTGACTACGTCTATTTAAATTCTTGTCCGATCTAAGTAAATCCAATCATAGAAAATAACCAATGACACTAAAATCACCAACATACTAAAACAGGGGTAGTACTTGATATGTCCCACAAAAGTTACTCCGTAATTTTTACTTATTCTGTCTCTTATTTTAGGGCGACTCACAAGATTTTCCTCTCACTTAAATAAAGGTGTGATCATAAAATTCTTACTTTTCAACATTTTTATTAAATTCCATTAAAGTCAAACTGGATAGTGTTGTTTGAGTCTGAGATAATATTTAAGATGCGAGTTAGTGAGTTAGGGTATGTTCTCTTCACTTAATCTAGATGGTTCTTATTTGATTGGAATAAGTTCTGGTTTGGTATGTTCTGAATTTAATTATATTTAAAATTGATCTCATCTTATAACCCATGGGTCTCTTTATAGCCCATTGGTTTTTTATTCTATATCATAGATGAGGTTTAATAAGTCAAAAAAGTTAAGATCTGTTAAAGGAGGAAAAAAGTCCGAAGTTTTTTATTCTGAGGGAATGTTAGAAGTCATATAGCTCTACAAACATGTCATTGTCGGTGAAACTGTGTATATGGGAATATAGTGAGCACTATTTGAATGATGGTTTCATTTGGAACATCATTAGTTACTAGTGCTAGCATTTTTATAATTTTTAAATTGTGAAAAATAAATTTTAGAAGTATTACTCCCTACTCCATAAAGTTATTGTTAGACAATTTTTTTGTCTCATAAAAAAAGTTTCACATTTTTTTCTGTCTTTCCAAAAAAAAAGTTTTATTTTTCACTTCAAAAAAGTTTTTTGTGGCCCATGTAATTTCTCCTCTTTCAATTACATAGTTTTACTTTTCTTAATCTTTGTTTCAACTCAAATGTGAAGCTTTTATATGGAGATAGAAGTGTTTTAAAGCATTAAATCTAATGTCAAAGGGAGTCCATCTTTACTATTCTTCAGCTTTTACATTTTAGTGAGGCATGATCATTAAAAATCATCAAACATAATTATTTTCTATTGCCTGTGCACTTAAATGAGTTGAACAATTGTTGTTCTAGTCTCTCAATACTCCCTCCTTCCTATAATGATCTTCCCGGTTCATTTTACGAAGTTTGACCGATTTTATTTTCAATTCAATTTAATTGATTGTAGGTGTAAAATTAAAAAATAAAATTTATATATTTAAAAACTATATCAAAAGTTCTACAAAACAAGTGGTGACAAGACTATATTATTTTATCAAATACCTAATGAAAATAAGTAAAGAAAGTGATTAAAGTTTGACCGGATAAAAAGTGTGTGGGAAGAACATTATAGGACGGAGGGAGTAATTTTTTATTTTACATGTTTTCATTGATCATTTGATAGAGTAAAATATTCTTGTCATCTCTTATTTTCTACAATTTTTATGTGATTTTTAAGTATCTTAGTTGATTTTTTTATTTATATTCTAATTTGTAAATAAAATTAATTTATTTAAAAGTTATAGGTTTTGCATGTTTTTTCAAGAGTGTAATACTACTATATTTTAAGAGAGAGGGAATAGTATTTTAGCCTTTTAGGTATATATTGGCCGAGCTAAAATTTTAGTAGCAAGGAAAAATTGTTTCGAAACTACTTTTTTATTTATGATTAAGCAAATACATTATTAAACATAATGAAAATTAGCCTCACTTCATGATACAATAAATAAATAAATTTGGTAATATCACTCTTGTTATAAGACGTAAGTAAAAAAATTTTTAGAGAAAATAAATTAATGTCGTTGAATTTTTTTCGGGTGTGATAATTAAGATTTTTTCATACAAAGAAGATGAAATATTTTCAAGAGGATTTTTATTAAAAAAAACATTTTTTTCTAAAAAAAAAAAGGACATAGCACATGGAGTAATATCTTTTTTATACAAAATTGAAACTTGGCCAGGCTGGTCCTGTTAATTTTTAAGTTTATTTCATTGGGCTACTGCCTCATTCCGTCATTCGTTCATTTAATTGTCAATTTACGCCACTCGTTTAAGCAAATTTATACTCATATCTCTAATTAAATGTAGGAAAAAGCTAGGGTACCCCGATATGTACAAAGAAACTACTCTAAATAAAAGATTTAAGAGAAATTTACGTAAATAACACTAAAACATAATGACTTTCCTTAAATAGCACTATATGTGTTTTTCTAATGTAGCACTTTTAGTCATTTTCCATTAGTCATTATTCAAGTAAATGTAAGAAATAAAATAATTTAAGTGTTATTTAAGAAATAAAACAATTTAAGTGCTATTTAGAGAAATGACTTAAGTTTTAGTGCTATTTAGTGCAAATGTGTCAAGCTTCAACTCTTATTTTGTGCATAAAAACATTGAACTTTTATTTTGGTATATTTTCAATATTTTATTCCCACGTTATTCATTTTCTTATATGTACACTATACATAGGCTGATTCTGACACTTTGAGTATTGTATATTTTGTCTAAAAAAAATCAAACTGTGAATTACTCCGTATTACTCCGTATTTTTTAGGTTGAGGGAGAATTAACAATTATTTATATACGTTTCAAAAAAAACAATTATTTATATACTTTTTTGAAAGTATTGATCTATATTATATAAATGCATGTTTTTTTTAAACCGAACAATTTTTAAAATCATTCACCTCTTCCCAAGCGTGGATTATGTCCTCCAATCCTATCTTCCAATTTTAGAAGAATGTTAAAGTCTTCCAAATTAAACAAATCAAATCAAATTATCCCATAAATCTTTCCTTTTAGCCATCTCATGGTAATGTGGGATTCTACATTTACATTTTACTACGGAGTATATTTTTTTTAGTAATGTACGTGATCATGATTGATAATGTAAATGGATTTTAACTCTTATTTCAATAATAAAAACATGGAACTCTCATTTCGGTATACTTTTAATGTTTACTCATAATTTAATCCTTTTCTCTTTTATTTCAATAGATGAAAAAATATGCATGATGACGTGATCCATACTCCGGTCTAGTAATGAACTGATAAAAAAACTGACGTGACGTTGAGTGCTAGTCTTATCTTCCAACATAAGTGAGGTGACGTTGAGTGCTAGTCTTATCTTCCAACATGGGGAGCACATCACATGGACCCCATTCTAACCATTGGGCGGAAGCTGTTGGATCGGACAGAGAAGCCCATTATATTATTGGATACTCCGTACTTAGATTAGCCATATGCTTCATTATTATTCCTATCTCCTTCGTCCACTTACTTTTTTTTATTTAAAATAAATTTAAATGAGAAGAACTACATTGAACAGAAGATATATTAATAGGGAATAAAATTTTAATTATTATGTATGACATTGCCGGACAATGTCATGAAATCTTGGTGATGATAATATACTAAGAAAAATATATTCCGTAGATGAGAAGTAAATTCACGTTTTTTTCTTACTTGATTTCGAAATTATGGGGTCGCACTGACATTTTGTATCAATATCAGCCATCAAAATGTAAATAAAGACCTTTGAAGCATATTTTAGAGTACATTTAGCATGGTTGAAGCTAAGGAAAATGTATATAGATAAACGGATTTATGGATTTCTTCATTAATTAATTTTTTGTGGGGTTGTAGCTATTACCTAACTAATTGCTTCCAAATCTCTCTGTTTTCCCTATCTTTTATCTTCCCCTAATTGCTGAGCTTGCATGATCGGCCCTCCTTACTCAATGAATGAACTTCATTTTAACTATGATTATATTTCCGGAGAAGGTAAATTGAAATATAATTTTAAAGAAAATGTCATAGCTGCACCCAAGCTTCGCACTAGATAAACTCATACTCCGTAGTTATCATATCTCTTCCTAAATACTTCATCCGTCCAACTATAAAGTTCTCATTCTATATTCATAGAGTTAAACTTTATTTACTTCATTAGCCTATTTTCGTGTCATATTTGATAAAATAATATAGTCATGTCACATCTAGTTTTGTAGATTTTTTATGTAGTTTTTAAATATGTAATTCTATTGTTTAATTCCATATCATTTTTCATATAAAATCATTTGAAAATACATTTCGTCAAACATCGTAACGTTCAACGAGAACTTT